CGAAACATGAAAAATGTTTTCTATCGTATTGAAAAGCACCAATTTATAGAGTTAAAGTTATAAATTTTTGAGTAATGAAAGAGGCGAACCGAACCTAACATTTTAGATAATCGCTTATGCTTATAATTATTTGTCAAAAATGTTGGGCCTCACTTCTTCAGACTATACATGATATTCCTCTGCAGAGGAGAGGGACGACGAGATTCGAACATGAACATACATTGGCTTCAAATCACAGTAATGGGGTAGACCAGATTTAATCATAAACCCATTGCCTCACAAACCACTGCATAATTATTACCACTTACGTTTTTTATTTTCAATAGGGATAGATGGAGAAAATAAAAATAATAAAACTAATGTATGTCTGGGAATGGTCCTAATGTTTGATTTTATTTTTTTCATTCAATGATCAAGGATATCTGGGAATGTTAGATTTGAACTCAACAAATAAATAGGATTTACTAGTGAGAAGTTAGTTGGGCTCATCTCGAACCCTCACTTAAGAAGATTTGGGTTGGGCTAATCTGGAAAAGCCCATTATAGTTTTTCCGAATTTCATCATGGCAATTGATTTGGACAATGTGTTATTGGGCCAGTTTACTTTTTCCTATGCCGACAGTAAGCCTTCAGGGGCACGACAATGCGGCAATATCATGGCCCATGATGAATATGTTTTTTTTGGCTTCTCTTCAATCAATTGGAAATGTTTACAGTCGTCAAACATTAAATTAAATAGAGACAGATTCATATAAATTCTAATGATTTATAAGGATAATTTCTTTAAATAATTTGACATATATAATATAGATGTCATTAACATTACAAACTTATTTCGAATCATAAGACCTCAATTTCATATTAAACGATTCGGTTAGTTTATGTTTCGATAATAATAAGGTTTGAAAGGCATAATCCCTTTTATTTTTTATTCTTTTTTTTGTTTATAAATCCAAATAATATTTTACAAGAATATAACCATTTAAATCTAACAGTACATAAGGCCATCAAGGTTACGAGTGTCGAGAATCCCTCAACCTTCTCTCAAACAACACAAAATAGCTATGTTTCCACGGAGGGTGCTTTCGATACGTGTCTCTCTTTCTTTCTTATAATCTATTATTTTTTCTAAGCAATCTAGGGAAGAAAAAAAATCATGAAACTCTTGCACATCTAAGTTTTGATCTAATTTATTTCTACCATCTACGCATTATTTCATTTGATTCATGTCTTAGTTACCTCTAATTTCGTAGTTTTAGCCCGTGAATTTTATGTGTAATTTAAATTCGATTAATTTAGTTGTTCATCCTAAAATTTGCATTGGTATTTTTCAATCTGTATTGTTGGTACAAATTCTTGCACAACTTAAGGATTTCGGCTGACCTGGGTTAATCCCTTCGGCGACCCCCCAGTAGCCTTTTACCTTCATCCCACATTCTGTATTGTTGGTACAAATTCTTGCACAACTTAAGGATTTCGACTGACCTGGGTTAACCCCTTCGGCGACCCCCCAGTAGCCTTTTACCTTCATCCCACATCGGGTAAGAGTCGTCTCCCCCCCTGCCATATAAGTGAACACTTCCTATGGAAGAGGTACCCCCTAGGCACCTGATCAAGTGCTAGTGGGTACCTCCTCCATAGGAAGTGTTCACTTATATGGCAGGGGGGGAAGATGACTCTTACCCGTTATGGGATGGAGGTAAAAGGCTATTGGGGGGTCGCTCAAGGGGTTAACCCAGGTCAGTCGAAATCCTTGAGTTGTGCAAGAATTTGTATCAACAAAAATGCGTCTTTTTGTTAGGGTATAAATCGCGCATTCGGATCTCATTCTTGAACTCAAATATTCTGGCTGGCCTGTACCCTTTCCTAAGGCAATACAGTAGCATTTACCTCCATCCCACATCGTCTTCCCCCTTGCCATATAAGTGAACACTTCCTATGGAGGAGATACGGAAAATAAGAAACAGAAGGGCGAAGAGAGGAAAGATACAAGGACTCACCAGAATGTAAACGAAAGTTTTTCTTGAAAACTTGAAGTGATTCCTTCCCCTAGGACCTTCAGAAGCAAGGAGGGTCTGCTGGCCTTGAGACTCCAGTGAAAGATTGGGCAATAGACAACGAAAGGAAAGGGATCGCTGGTGAGTTTTCAGGCAAGGGCTCTCTGAAGAAGTTCGAAATAGCGAAATGAGAGAGGGAGAAAGGAAGCTCATTTATATAATACTCATTTCCATCATTTGGGCACGAAGAGGCGCATTTAATGCGCACGACCTCCTAAGTAGGGGAAAGCAGCTAGAGGTAATGATGAAGTAGTTGAGGCAGTTGCAGAACCCTTCGTCTCTTTACGACGCGTGTCCTCGGTGTTAGGAGATCGAAGGCTGGGGGGAAGTTGATGGGACATTTTCCAAATACTCCAAGATGAAGACACGTGTCATCGGCATCAGTATATTCTTGTTAATGTGATCACGACACGTACTCGTCGGTTCACAAGTCCCTCTTCCCCTGAGGTACTGTTCATAGGGATCAATGGCATCTAGTACGTTACGTACCGACACGTATCTCTTGGTCGGATATATGGGTACATCGGTCCCTACATGTACCACTCCCTCGGTACCAAGATGTACCCATCCAAGTTGGCATTTTCTGCTCCTACAGAGGCTATTGATGTATAGGTCACTAGCCTAGGCCAGGCTAGGTTAGTCATCATGACCTCGTCTTACACAATTAGTGTCAGAAGGCACGAGAAGGCAGAAGACACAACCAATGAGGAATGGGCGCGTGGTATATTGTGTCAGATCAGAGACAAAAAGATCGAGATGTCCTTGCTGACACACGACTTGGGAAAGCAAGTATTTAGTTCACCATTCCCTTGATGAGACATCATTTAATGCAGGAAGGCTCGGAAGTGAAAGGTAATAAATGTCCCTATAACTAGGCATTTATTACATCTTTGCGGAGAGAAGCTCATTATATTACATCTTTGCGGAGAGAAGCTCATTAAACATTCGGCAGGCCGATGACGAAGCATTGGTTGCTCGGAGTCCCAAGCAGTTAAGAGAGAAAACATTCTTCATAAGAATCAGTGCGCACGTTGCCCGTATCTAATGATCACCTACTGACCACACTGACAGCAATCATGAGTTTTTGAGGTACAAGTACTCCTCATAAAAGACAAGATAGGATGCAACAAAGAAAACTTATTCTCAAANACAAGTACTCCTCATAAAAGACAAGATAGGATGCAACAAAGAAAACTTATTCTCAAAGAAATACACAGTATTTTCTCATTTCCCTCTCTCAAGAACTGACTTGATCGTCGGAGAGGATACGTCGAAAAACACTCTGGCGCCCTCCTAACTCATTTTCTCTGTTCCAGGAACCTCCTTCAGCTTTATTGGACCGCTCCGTTGATCTACGAAAGTCACCCATTACCGTTCCAGGCCACCACTGAACCTCACAGTCTGTTCTAAGCAACCAAGTTGACCATTCGATTGACTGACTCGAATTCACCACAAGAGAATTTTATTCTCGTGTTTATATTGTGTAAGATCCTGCACGCACATGTATCATATATTGTGGTTAAGTATCAACAAATCTACTCAACTTTGAGAAAANATCCTGCACGCACATGTATCATATATTGTGGTTAAGTATCAACAAATCTACTCAACTTTGAGAAAAAAGGAAAGTAAAGGCATGAAGTATTTACTTATTTCTAATCTAAAATCTTTTGTAGGCTCTGTTTTTGTTGTTTTGGGTAGCAAAACTTGTTTTCGGTCATTATATGTTGTACCATTTTTGTATTATCCAGACCTTTTTAACCGTTCACCCTATTATTTATTTTTTATTAAATTCTTTTTCATTATTTCAAAACTTTAATTATCTAAAAATACGCATATAATAACATAACATCATAATTAACGAATTATTATTGATCATTGTCGTCCCACATGAAGTTTATTACCTATTGATTTTATATATATATATATATATAAAACTCACAAAGAATACCCTATTTGCTTTTTAAAAAAAAAAAAACAGCTTGGTAACCTGTTCGGCTCAAATTTGACGTGTTTTAAATGAGTTAAATTTAATCAACTTTTAAGACTCATTTAGAAATAAGTTTGAAAAGGCTTACTTGAATTTGTAAAATTTGACTTGTTTATATATAAAATAGTTAAGTTACTCAGCTCAGCTTTGGTTTCGTTTGTTTTGAGTTGGGCCGGGGCTCGACTCTTTTAAAAAAAGAGTCGAGTTTGAATAATTTTTTAAATTTGTTTAAAAAAATTGAGATTGACAAACTTGACTTGATTATCAGTTCTACTTGAGAGAGTTAATTTGAATATAAATTAAATTATAAAATTCTTAATCTTTCAATATGAATACGACTCGTTTTGAATAATTTTTTTAATTTATTTTAAAAAAATAAACTCAATAAGTTCGACTCAATTATCAGTTTTACTCGAGAGTTAATTTGAATTATAAAATTCTTAATCTTTCAATTTGAATGCGATTTCAACCTTATTCAGCACCACATTAATTTTTTCAACTCAATTACACATCAAAGATTAAAATTAAGGGTCAATTCTTTTTTTTTCCCCATAAAATTTTAATCCTTAATAAATACATAAAAAAAATTTATTTAATTTTTCCTTTTTTTCCCCCACACTTTCTATCATTTTCGATTTTCTACCATTTTTGTTTCCAATTAAACGGTCCCTTGCACCCTTGTTTTAATTGTAATCTGTGATGTCTCTCTCTCTCCACCACATCTCTAGCTCGCCGGCCTGACGCGGCGCCGCCCTATAATGACTCCAAGTGAAACTTACCCACAGAAAACTGCCACCCATTTCATTAACTGTTCTGTCGTTTTGTTTCATTGAAACAGAACGAAACCCAAATCGCTATCTCTCTCTCTCTCTCTCTCTCTCTCTCTGAGTACTTAATTAGGGTCACAATGGGCGGTTGTTCTTCATAAACGTAGTTATTGGTGTATGTTATGCTCAATTTTGTCACCAACACACCATTTCTTTGTGAATTAGTTAGTGGGTACCCCATATATCTCCCGAAATCCTTCGATTTCATCTGAATCTGGTGGTTAATGATAGGCGCGGGGACACCAATTTGGTCACAGAAGTGAAAGACGGGAATAATAACGTCTCTGCTTCCATCAGGGTATGTTCTTTGATGGGTCTCTCTTACGATTGAGATAGAGATATATACTCTGTTTTCTTCTGTAATTCACCTTTTTTGTTCTCTGAAGATTTCGATCTAGATGACGTTGTTGTGATGGGCGGGGATGCCTATTTGGTCCTAGAAGTGAAAGGAAAGAGTATAATTATACCTCTACTTCCCACAAGGTTTGTTTTTTCAGGTGTATCTTTTATATAGTTTTGGTATGTATGGTGCGTTTATGTGGTCACAGAATTGAAAAGACAGAGAATAACTATTCCTCTTTTGATCTTTTTCCATCGAAGGTTTCTTTTATGACTCAGGTTGTATAATGTTTTAATTTCCAATTCACCTTGTGGTTTCAGTTGTTTTGTTGAATTTGAGGTGTTCATTCTTAGGCTGATATAAAGGTTATGTGTGATTCTCTGTGTTCTCTTAACTGATCTTAATATTCTAATTTCACACTTTGGAAACTTGGCATGAAACTATGTTAAGGTTTTGTTGTTCAAATAATGGAAAGTTTGCCTTTTCTTGTCATGGTGGTGGTTTTGTGATATAACAAATTTGATCGAATTTTGTTTTGAAACAAAGTTCATTTCATTCCTTGTGTTGTGTATAAGATTTGGAAATGGTTCCAGGCTTATACGGTACAGGGGACACTAAATGAGAGTCAATTCGTAAAGATTTGCCTATTTGGATGTTTTAATGCTACCTCTATTGTTGATTTTTTCATTATTTTTTTTGAATTTCTTGATCCATTCTCCGGAATGGATGGTGTCTGCAAGTTGCTGTATGCTAAGTTTCTTCTTCTGGTTGAGAACGAGCCATTGTGGCTAACAAGATAACACTGAACTCAAATTCCTGTGTTATAGTTTCTCCCAATTTGTTTGTAGCATTTCATATATTACGATTTCCTATGTAAAATCGTGATATGTTATGACCTGTTTAGTCTTATCTTTATATACTAAGACATCTGAGGTTTAAACAAGCATGTAAAGGTTTCCTGGTTCAGAAATGGCCTTCAGTGACAGGAATTGCTTGTCTCCCCTCGTCCCTCCCTTCGTGTGTCCCGTATTTATTTTATTTAAGATGTATCCACTGTGTATCAGGATTCCCTAAACTCTGCAATGGCGGTAGAAACATCCTGGTCAGATGATGAATTTGATGATAATACAAGGGGAACTGGTGTGTTCTATCCATATTTGGGGCTAACTGACAGGGTTGATGAAGAAAGCAATCATGTCCCCATTGATCCAATCCTCCCTGATGATCTTCAGGAACGAATAATAGCCTCTCTCCCATTAGAGTGCATTTTAAAAGCATGCTGTGTTTGTAAAAAGTGGAATGAGATTGTGCACTCAAAAAGATTTATGTTGAACATCTCAAGTGTCTTATCACAGAAACCCTGGTACTTCATGTTTACCAGCTCTGATGAACCCGTTGGATATTTCTATGACCCTTTGTTGCGTAAATGGTACAGCTCCGAACTCCCTTGTAATGTAAAGCACAACTGCTATATTGCTTCATCTTCTGGTTTAGTGTGCTTCATGGATAATTATAGCAGGAATGAGCTATATGTTTGTAACCCGCTTGCTAGGAACTACAAGAAAGTGGAACCTTTGGGTGACCGATTCTTTGATTACAGAGCTCTTGCGTTTTCAGTGGACTGGCTATCACACAGTTATACTCTTGCTATTGTAGGATCGGAACAAATCTCTGGGGATGAATGGGATATTTCGATTCACATTTATAATTCAAACAAAATGGTATGGCAATCTCCTGCTGCGAAAACTTTTACCAGGTGGAGAGCAGGATATGATAGTGTAATCTGTGATGGGGTTTTGTATGCCCTGTTTTATTATACTGGAACGGATGAGACTGAGGATCGCCATGCCTTGTTGACTTATAATATTTGTAGCCCATCTTACGAGGATATATCAGTTGCTACTAAAATTCCAGTTCCTTGCTTTGTCACTTGTGGACGGCTGATGAACCTCTCTGACAAGCTTGTAATGGTGGGAGGTATAGGGAGACAAGATCGTCCAGGCATAATAAAGGGAATTGGCATTTGGGTTCTTAGAGGGATGGAATTGGAAGAGGTATCCCGAATGCCTCATAAGTTTTTTCAAGGATTTGGAGAGATAGATGATGTGTTTGCAAGCAGTGGTGCTGGTGATCTTATATACATCCAGAGCTATGGAGCAACAGCCCTTCTTGAGTTTGATATGACCTTGAAACAATGGGATTGGTCACATAAATGTCCTGTGACTAAGAAGTTCCCCCTTCAGCTTTTCTCAGGTTTTTGCTTCCAACCGCGGCTTGAAGTTTCACCCTAACTGAGCATCCTCATCTTTCGATTTTACAAGGTGGTGGTGATAAATTTTTCCCATGCTCTCTTTATTCTTCAATTAATCCTACTTTAAAGGAAATGCCATTCATAAAATTTGCAATAGCAGTTTTTCTTCTGATAATGTTCTTGTTTAATGAAACGGGTACCCTTTCCTAACTGTCTTTAAAAGTAAGCATTCTTCCATTTTTCAGTAGAGAGGTAGACATTGGTATTATTTCGTCTCATACTTGTCTAGTGCTGGATTTGGACTATCAGGTCTTGCTGCTCTCTCCCATTGGGTTTTCGGTGGGTTGGGTGGGAAGAGAGTTCAGAATGGCTGGTTCCTGTTCCCACGATGTTTAATAGGACAAATTAGCAAATATATGCATACTGATAGATGATTGGTTAATCTGAGAATTATTGTGAAAATAGTGTATGAAATGACGAGCCATGGTAATGTTTGGCAGCACTGTAGCATTTGGGGGGCTCGTTGGTGTCGACGTTTGGGTACATGAGAAAAAAAGAACATGTTAGAAATGTTTGAAATATGCCTCTGAGAATTCATTTGTACCTGGAGTCCTGCTTTTTTTAATATGTGGCATGTGACACAACTAGATTTCATTTCTTATTATATACCCCCCCAGGTTCAAAAATTATTTACCAAAACTATATTTTAAAAAACCACGTTAAGGACTATGTTGGAACAGTTAATAACAAGGTTGATGNAGGTTTTGACACGCGGAATACTTCTCTTGTCTGAATTGCCATCTTGAGATCACAATACAAAGCAAGAATTTTTGTATCAAGGCAAACTAAGAGTTAGCCTATAAAAATTAAATAGTTTATCATATAATTGTTAATAGAATTAACTATTTTATATTATATTTTTATTATTTTTTATGAATGAATACGTGTCTTTATTCATAATATAATATAACTCTACAATTCTAATTATTTTTTTTTGAATTTATCATTTGGGCACTTGCTCAAATTTTAAAAATGACACAAATTTAATCCCATATCATTATTGATTGGAACATAATAATTTATTTATCATCATTTGTTTAGCTAAAATTGACCAAAATTAAAAATAAACAATGATTGGTCCAACTACTCTCCAATCCCTTATCCTCTATCCCCTCCCTCCCTATCTTATCGCCAAACACGGCAACCCAGTGTCCCTTGTCAAAACCCTTCACCTTTATCTTATAGAGTGAAATTTTCCATAATATATATTTTTATTTTTAGGTTAATTGCAAATTGTACCCTTAAAGATTATTCGAATATCAATTTACACTTTCAAAGATAAAAAATCCCAATTTACACATTCAAATATAGAAATTTGTATCAATATGCACCCCCAAAGATCAAAAATCTCAATTTGCACCCTAAAATATTATAATTTGTATTAATGTGCACCTAAAACTAAATTGATAAATTATACCTAGATCCCCTTATACTTGTCACTTAATCATTTGGACTCATTCACATTTAAAATATTACTCCTACATCTCATGACGTTTATGCACGTGTAACACGTAACCCCTTTTTGTTAATATCTATTAATAAAATAGTTAAAAAATATGATTTTATCCTAATAAAAAACTATAATTTCATATTACCATTTATTTTATGGGTACAATATACTCTAAAGTTTAAAATCAAGTTTACCATTTGAATGTCTAATAGAATAAAGGGTTGCACATTGAATAATATATTATATTGGATATAAAAAATATTATATAAATATCTATATTTTATTAGACATTCAAATGGTAAGCTTGATTTTGAACTTTAGAATATATCGACCCACAAAAAAAAGGGTAATATAAAATTAGAATTTTTTATTAGGATAAAATCATATTTTTTGACGGTTATAGTAATATGTATCAACGAAAAAATGTTACGTGTTACACGTGCACAAACGCCATGAGATGTAGCAGTAATATTCTAAATGTGAAGGGGTTCAAATGATTAAGTAACAAACATGAGGAGATCTAGGTATAATTTATCAATTTAATTTTAGGTGCACATTAATACAAATTTCTATTTTTGAGGGTGCAAATTAAGATTTTTGATCTTTGGGGATGCACATTGATACAAATTTCTATTTTTGAGGGTACAAATTGAAATTTTTGATCTTTGGGGGTGCACATTGATACAATTTTCTATTTTTGATGGTACAAATTGAGATTTTTGATGTTTGGGGGTCTAAATTGAGATTTGAACTATATTTTGGGGTACAACTTGAAATTAACCCTTATTTTTAATATGAATTTAAATGAAATTCACTATATACAAGTGGTGAATAATTTATAAATAATAAAATATTGAAATGAATTTGAATCTCCACCACCACTACAACGACAAAATATTTAACATAACGATAATATCACATCATTATTACATAATCTAATCATTGAATAATAAGTCTTTGGTCTATAAAATATCACTTCCTAAATATTTTAGCAACCATAGTTGCACGTAATACAATAACTATTTTGTAAGGTGGCCTTTCCTGATTGCCTACCAACACCCCAGATAACACCCATGACTACATTTGATATCTGTGCGTGCATGTTCTTACACAATATAAACACAAGAACAAATCTCTTTCGTGGTGAACACAAGTCCGTCGATCGAGTAGTCAATCTTGCCACTTGGAATAGGTTGTGAGGGCCGAAGGTGGTCTGAGAAGTGGTGATGAATTATTTTTATGAGTCGTCTGACTCGTCCTGGGAGGCTAAGAGAGATTCTTGGAACAGAGAAAAAACAGGTTAGAAAGGCGCCGGAGTGTTTTTCGGCGTTTCTCATCCGATGATCAAGTCAGTTCTTTGAGAAAGGAGAAAAAGAAAACATTATATGATGCTTGAGAAAGGGTTTTTGCGTACCTCTTTAACGTGATTGTGAGGACTATTTATACCTTGCAAAATTCATCATTGCTGACAACATAGCTAGTAGGTAATCATTAGAGGTGGGCAGTGTGCACACCAATTTCTATGAGAAATATCCTCATTCTTAACTGTTCGGGACTCCGAACAACTAATGGTTACTCCTCGGTCTATCGAGTGTTTAATGATCTTCCCTCGATAGGGATGTGTTAAATGCCCACGCATAGGAATATTTATTACATTTCACTTCCAGGCTCTTATGCATTAAATGTTGTTTCATTAAGGGAAGGATGCATTAAATGTCTGCCCTCCCAAGTCGTGTGTCAGCAAGGGCTTTCTGGTCTTTTCGTCTCTGACTTGACACAATGTGCCATGTGCCCATTCCCTTTTGGTTGAGCCTTCTGTTTTCCTGCACCTCCTGACATCATTTGAGTAGGACGATGTTATGATGGCTAGTCTAGCCCAGCCTAGGCCAGTAATCTGTCAATCAATAGCCCCTACACGAGCAGAAATGCCCACGTGGACAGATACACCTTGGTGCCGATGGACTAGCATGATTAGGGACCGATATACCCAAATTGACCGAGGGATACGTGTCGGTCCATGGCGTATTGGGGATCCTTGATCNCCCCTACACGAGCAGAAATGCCCACGTGGACAGATACACCTTGGTGCCGATGGACTAGCATGATTAGGGATCGATATACCCAAATTGACCGAGGGATACGTGTCGGTCCATGGCGTATTGGGGATCCTTGATCCTTGTGAATAGTATCCTCAGGAAAAGGGGCTATAGACTGATGAGGATGTGTCGGGATCACAACAGAGAGTCTCTATTGGCGCCAAGTACACGTGTTGTCATCTTGGTGTGTCTGAAAATATCTCATCAACTTTCCTCCAGCCTTCGATCTTCTGATACAGAGGACACGCGTCGTAAGAAGACGAAGGGTTCTGCAATTGTCCCAACCACCCCATCATTACTTCCAGTCATTTTTCGCCGCTTAGGAGGTCGTGCACATTAAATGTGCTTTTTCGTGCTTCGTGCCCAATGATGGAGACGGGTATTATATAAACGGGCTTTCTCTCTCTTTCCCACACTTTTACCATTTCGAACTCTTAGAGAGCTTTCGCCGAAAACTTCGCTAGAGACCCCCTTGTCACATCGTCTACCAATCAGTCATCACCAGAGTTTAGACTGACAAACCCCCTCTTGCTTCTGAACCTTCTCGAGAAAGGGACCATTCCAAGTTCTTCAGAAATCTTCATTTGCATTCTGGTGAGTCCTTCCATCCTCATTCTGGGTTTTACTTTTCATTTTTCGGTAATCGAAGGTGTTTCTGGTTGTCATCNCAAGAAAGGGACCACTCCAAGTTCTTCAGAAATCTTCATTTGCATTCTGGTGAGTCCTTCCATCCTCATTCTGGGTTTTAGTTTTCATTTTTCGGTAATCGAAGGTGTTTCTGGTTGTCATCGTTTGACCAATCCTCAGGAAATCTCTTGGGGTTCCTTGTAGGAAAACTCTTTTTCCTTCTCCCTTTTTTTTTTTTTTTTAATTAGAGATGCCTTGACGCCGCTCTGCCACTGAGGCCCCCCAGGCTAGTTCCTCGAGGCCAGGAAAGTACAGAGTGAAGGGAGACCAGCAGATCAATAGGTTTAGAGCCCGATATCACATCCCCTAAAATGTAGGTATAGAAAAGTACGACCCAATTCTGTATAACCGTAATCTCGGGGCCGAGGATGAGATACCCTTTTACACCAAAGCAATCATAGAGAATGGAATTAGGTTCCCCTTGCCTCATCTACTCCTCTAATTCCTCTTCCATTTCAACCTCTTTCCCTGGCAGTGTTGCCTTAATGTCTTTAGGATAATAATGGAGGTCCTAGAGCTTAATAACCGTCTCGGGATAAACATTGGATTCAACGATATCCTTTTTTGCTACTCCTTGTTGAGAGTCATACCCCAGCAGAACTTCTATCTCAAAGCCAAGGATACATCCATATACCTTATAACTCACCTCCCTGATTCAGACAAAGGGTACAAGGATGACCTTTTGATCTTCAGTGGATCCTGGGAGCAGGGAATCGGTCCCAAGTACGATGGTCTGAGGTGCCCTCT